TCCACATAATAAATATTTCATATTATAATTAGTCTGAGTATACAGTAGATTAATAGAACCAATTCTTACAAGCACTTTTTTGTTTTTAATTGCTTATTTTTTAAGCTTTATGGTCAAAATTGAAAATTTAAATAAATAAGATTTATTAAAAAAGGAAGTTGGGGCTATGGATGTAGCTTAGTGACAGAGCACCTGTTAGCATATGAAAGGCTCTGGATTCATCCCTAGCAACACCCTTGCCAAAACTAAACTAAAATGAGCTTAACAATGAATAGAATTGATGTTATAATTTTTCTTTTTCCTTCATTCATCTTTTGTTGGCTCTTTTCTTTCTTTCTTTTTTTTTGGTACCGGGGATTGAACTTGGGTCCCTACACTTGCAAGGCAGGCAGTGGAGCCGCTGAGCTAAATCGCTGGCCCCTTGATAACTCTTTTCTTAAGGCATAAAACCTACAAAGTGCAACAGAATGGTGGAAAGTGAAATAAATGTAACATGTATAGTTACTCCTTGAAAAAAAGTATAACTATATCATGATTATTTATGAAAATACTCTTAATCAAATAAGATTACAATGAGATAATACAAACTACTTATATATAATCATTCTTACCTATAATATTAAATTATAAGCTATGACATCTTTCTAAATGTGAACTCTAAATATTTTAAGATTTAAATTTTTTTAGTAATAACTAAAGCTTATCTTTGCTATACTTTCTTTTCTATTTCAGCTCTAAAATAAACACTAGCATGTGAATACATTTCTTTTTTTTTTTTTGGTACCAGGGATTGAACTCTGGACCTTGCATTTGTGAGGCAGGTGTGGTGCCATTGAGCTAAATCCCCAGCCCATGTGAATACATTTCTATTTGGTAGTCTATTGCTTCACAAGTACTACTACTGGCAAAAAAATTATTTTGTCATGTTTTATTCTAATCCAACTTAACTTTTGAAACAATTAACATTGTACCTCTGGCTGCTACAGCTGCTGGTTACTTGACCACGAGTGTCATACCCAATGACAAGACCTCTCTGCTTAAAGTCTGAGAAACATCTCTCAAGGTATTTGTACATTCCCTGAAGTAAATAAACACAAAAGATTAGTTATTTCCTGATGAATACTTACATTTTATAATAGTTAAAATCTCTTTATGTTTCCTATGAGCTCCTAGTGAACTGGTTTCTGCCTTTACACTCACGTTTGCTAATGTGGGAACAATACACAAACATGAAATGACAAATATTTCCTGTATTTTCAGACATATTTTGTTAAGCATCAATTTGGTAACCATTAAACCTATACAATAAATAACATATGAGGAAAAAAAAGATGAGACACAAGAGTCAGAAAGCTAAAAAAAATTATTAGAAGACCCCAAAGAAATTGTTTCTTGCTTTAAGGCTACAGAAAGCAGAATTTCAACCCTTGCTAAATTCTAAAATTGAAGCTAATCAAAAGATCTGACCTATTTAGGACACAAACATTTTTAATCAGCAACTTAGTTTTTCAATGGAGCACTTCTTAGATGGGTGGTACCATTTATACTTCCTTAAAAACTTCACAAGAGAAAAAAAAAAAAGCAGAGTGTGAAAATTTGCAGGCAAGGGTGCAGACAAATTTTGCAGACAAAATAAAACTAAGTATTTTTTTTATATTGAAAACATAAAAATGATAAACTAAAACCATTTTAACTATTTTGGGAATGATTTGCTAACTTTAGTAAACATTTTTACTTCTAAAAATAATACTTCATAGTGTTACAGTCATTTAGAACGGCTTCTACAAAATGAGATGAGAAATTTAATCCTTATAACACCCTGAAAAAAAATGCAAATACTGTTTTGTCTCTCTCTTTTAATATTTCTTTTAGAAATGAGAAGATACCTGCCTGGGCTACATAGTGAGTTCCAGGTCAGTCTCAACTACATAGTGAGACCCTGTCTCAAGAAACTAAAACAAAAAACAAAAGAGAGAGAGAGAGAGAGAGAGAGAGAGAGAGAGAGAGAGAAGCTAGAATAAGAATATCCATGTAAAGCCCAATGTAATAAGTTACCCAGGGACATTAACTGAATTAAAATGAAGTTATTTTGACTTATTGAAGACCTACTCTAGTATAAAACAAAAAACAAAAGAGAGAGAGAGAGAGAGAGAGAGAGAGAGAGAGAGAGAGAGAAGCTAGAATAAGAATATCCATGTAAAGCCCAATGTAATAAGTTACCCAGGGACATTAACTGAATTAAAATGAAGTTATTTTGACTTATTGAAGACCTACTCTAGTGAGAGGCACTATTAAGGATGATGCGGTACCAACTGAGGCCCCAGTGACTTCCAGTACACAGTTCAAGTGTAATTATTTCTCCTAACCTACTCTATGTGAGAGACAGAAAGACAGAGATTAATATATCCCAAATAGGCTAGTTTCACCAACTTATTTCTAATGATAATACTATCCTAAAGCCTAACAGATCCTCTTATTATTGTCTGCTATGAGAATCTATCTCATCTCTAGACAATCCTTTAAATCTAGAGTTTGAAAGGGTTAAGGTTTAAGAATCAGATTCTATCTGGCTTTGCTTATGAGGAAACAGTATACATAAAAAGACTGAACTAAAAGCATTTCTGGTTGAGGAGTAGAAAGGAGATGGGGAGGGCATGGGAAGTAAACGTGGCATGTATCCTATCTCAGCCATCTTTTTATTTCATCTCCTCCATCCCCTGAATTAAGCCTTGGCTTTAGAGAATTTTCTTAGAGCAGGGCTAAAGGTGATTTACTATTTGTTAGATTATAATTCTAATCTAATCAATATAGTATAACTCTAATCTATGGTAGAGAACACTAAAATTTTCTATAAACCAGACTTATTTTTAGTATATGCTAAATTACTGGACTCAAAAGTGTAGTTTCTAGGGGACTGGGGATTTAGCTCAGTGGCACTGTGCCTACCTCGCAAGCACAGGGTCCTAAATTCAATCCCTGGTACCGCAAAAATAAATAAATAAATAATAAATAAAGTGTAGTTTCTTGAAACAGTGAGGATGATTCACTAGGAAGAAAAGCAATTTGTTTTTAAAATGAGGTGCATAAAAATGAAAAGAAATAAAACAAATTATATCATGTTATACAATTGTATTTAAAAAACCCTCAAATGGATATGGAAAATCATGTTTAAATGAAATATTTTCAACTAAATTTGCCAAATACTCTGGTTAACCTTTATGAATGGCCATATACAAACATGTGTAATTATTTTCTTTCTAAAAGTAACATGCTCAAAAAGTAAACAATGGCAACTAAAATAACTATTAATCAAAGAATTACTCTGGGACCTTGAAGATATATATAAGTGACTTCTAAGATAAATTTCAGGAAATTTCAAAAGTCAGAATTTGGTCAACATTTTTTTATTTATATGAGAATATCTTTTATTTATATGAGAACACCTTCCTGAACAAAAGACAAAAAAAAGAAGAAAGGCACTACCTCATACAGCAAAATAAAGAGTGAAAAATTACACACATAACAGTTTATAATATTTACCTGTGTTGATTGTATTACTGTAAGATCATTAATATAGCAAAAACCTGCTCCCATGGCAGAACGAAGGCCTGCAGTCCCAAAAGTCATTCGGCAACAAAGGCGATCTCTCAATTCCTTGTTCATCCCATTCCGTAACAGATTTTCAATTTGTTCTTTCGTTTTGGGATTCTATTAAAACAGTTAAAGCTTAATCAGCATTACAGAGTCCTAATATCAAGCTTTTCTGAGGGCTATTATACATACATCACAAGGTTCTACATTCACTATGAATTCCACAGTGCTATTAACATCAGTATGAACAAGAAAAATAATACCGGCTACTTACTGAGTCCTCAAAGGAGCCACGCCTAATGAGGGTAATTTACACACATCTAATTTTTATAGCATTTAAAAATAATATAATCACAAATGTTCTTTTTAACCATTTGATAAATAGAAGAGCTACAGACTTCTTAGCCAAAAGGACATCAACTGGAAGCTGTGGGATAAATGCCATCAAAACATGCCTTAACTACCTACCTAAAGCTCTGCAAATCAAATGACCAGATAAACCTTACTACTATTTAAAATCACAGAAAACCATGTAACTTATTACAATATGAATTGGCCATAAAAGGGTCTTAGGTGTCAAGTGTGTCATGCTGGATTTTCATTAAAATCTAAACATGGCTAGAGAGGCATGGCATACCAATATCCATATTTTAGTTTTCTGTATTTCATTAGCATGTACTTTAATTTATCTTCATAAATCTTAAGGATATTTATACTCAAAGAGTGTTTTGCAAAAAAATAGCAGATTTGAGGCTGAAGGTGTGGCTCAGGGGTAGAAAATGTACCTAGTATATATCAGGCTCTGAACTCAATTCCTAGCACCAAAAAATAAGAATATGAAAGATAACAGATTTCAAATAGAAATGAAATTATAATGAAACTTAAATGCAATTTTCCATTATTTTCTTTTTAGAAGAGTCAAATACTAAGAAAATAATTGTGTGAAACACAATTTCTTTCCTCAAGGTTAGTATGGATTGAGACTATACTATTTACATCTTCTATATATAGCCTATGTAATGATAATAAATATAGGCACTGCAAACCAAGGCATCCAAAAGGTATTACATTTTAGAGCATATTTGTACTTGCAAAGGGATAAAAATATATTAATATAAAATTAAATCAAAACAGTTTTATGATTACAGTGAAAATTAAGGTAACCAGATTACATGGTCAAACTAGTGAAAAAATATGAAAAATTTTGACTAACTGAAATTTCAAAGTTTAAAATTGGTGGATTTTAAAAAATATATAGGCAACCTAGCCTCAAGGGATTTCTATCTTATAAATGTAACACATTAACAACTATACAGTGTATATAAAAATAGAGAAAAATATAAACACTACTGGGATTACTAGCATATTATTCCAATGTCTAAGATATCACCACATTTTATACAGAAATCAGAAACTTGGAGAAGGTTAACATTCAAAGATATGAATAAGAAAAGCAAAAATTCAATAGATTTTTCATGTGTGGAGGGTACATGGCACTGTCATACAGTTAGTGAAACTGCAAAATAGAATGGTCTTTTCAAAGTGGTTTTATAGCAATGTATTCAATTTTAAACTGCAAAAAAAAATTTTTTAAACTGCATAAGCCTTTTGGCTCATAGATTTTTTTTTGTTCATGGCAGTATCTTCACACAAACTGAGATATCCATATAAGAATATTCACTGCAGCATTCTTACAAGTATTGCAATTGTACAGAAACTGAGACTTACAGAGAGAGCCTCATAACACTGAGCTAGCACTGAAGACTTCAACAGGTTTTGAACCTGGGTTGGTCTGGCTTAAGATCTATACTATCTCACTAAAAACAAAATGATTGTATCAAGAAGGTTAATCATGCTTCTAAAGTAATTTAATTCCAGCTATAAAGCAAAACAATATTCATTATTATTACATCAATATAAATATACACATGATCTATCAGACATAAATGCTATGGGCTTAACGTACTGCACAGCTATAAGAGTAGGGCCCCCAAAATTCCGTTTCCTATTACAAACTTCATAACCAGTATTTACCTAATTCTTGGCTCTTAAAAACGTTCTAGGTTAGATAGACATAAAAATGGTTAAAGAATCATGATATATTAAACTTAGTAAGTAAATCTTTATGGTAAAAAGAGCTAAAAGATTATGATGAGACATTTGAAATCTACTTTAAATTCAGATTTGTCCAAAAAAAATACTGTATTAGCTAGACATTGCAATTATGTCATTATAAACTCTTTAAAAAAAAACCTTAAAAACTATGCAGTTATCTTATATTTTCCATTCATATAATGAAATTGTGCTTGTATTTTGTTTCTAAAGTCTTTAAATCATTGATTTTAATACATTGTAACATATGAAGATCTAAAATAACTATCAGCAAATTATTTGATTTTATTGATTTGTTTTGTTTTGTTTTTTGAGACAGGGTCTTGCTATGTAGCTCAGGTTGACCTTGAACTCACGATGTACCCTAGGCTGGCCTCAAACTCATGACAAAAAAAGAAAAAGGGAAGAAGAGCATATTGTTTTAGATTGCATGAAAAGAGGTATATGTATTTATATACTCTCCAGAAATATTCTATGCAAAAAAAGGCACTAAAAATAATGATTATTTCTGAAGGGAATATCAGAAACAAGGTTTAAGGTAGAAAGTGACTTAGTTTATTATACAGTCATGATACTCTTTGGATAGTTTATGTACATATTATTCATTTTTATGGTAAAAATTGGTTAGGTATTCATAATGGCTAAGGAAAACCACTACTTGTATGGCCATGTGAGTATTTTTTACCTATAAACTGCCCACTTTTTTGCTCACAGAAGCTATTAATATGGTCTAAACATATAAAACATATATTGGAGCTTTTTCAAATACAAATTATTGTTTGCTATTTAATGCTTATTTACAAGTCATTCATTATTTGAGACTAGTCAGCAAAAAAAAAAAGAAAATGAAAATTGTTCAATTGATGACAATTATAAAGGAAAAGCACCTTTAAAATTCTAAGTCAGTACATAGTAGCACAATTTGTAATAGCTAAAACATGGAAGCAGCCCATTTACCCATCGATGGGTGACTGGATAAAGAAAATGTGTTTTTTTAATAAAATGGATTACTACTCAGCCATAAAAAATGATAAATTAGAGACATTTATAGGTAAATGGATGCACACTGAGGTGATACGCTTAAGTGAAATAAACAGGACACACGTGTAAATACCAAACATTTTCTCTAGTGTGAGATACTGGAAGTATAAATAAGGACTAAAAGGTATAATAGATAATGTGACAAAAAGGAAGGGGAAATGGGTGGGGTAGAGGAAAGGAAAGAAGGGAATGGAGTTAATATGAGAAAATGAAAAATAATGGAAACAGAGTCTTTGTTGGGGAGGGAGGGATTGAAGGGAGGGCAGGGAAATGGGGAAAAAAATAAAAACCAAGACTTATTATGTAAAGGTATAAATTTCTAATAATGAATGTCATTATATTGTATACATTAAATGTACCAATAAAATTAATTTAAAAATTATAAGTCAGTAAAAATTATGATTTATATATATCTAGACTATACTTACTGATCTATCATATAAAATGAAAATTATTTAGAAATAAATGCCCTCAATCTCAATTAAAATTTCTCTTAACTAGCATATCTGAGAATCCTAATAATTTTAATATCCAAAAAAAGTAATCTTGCAGAAAATCCAAAGAGATTTTGGTGACCACTAGCATTTTCTATACTTGTTAGGAATAAAGTTTAGTATAAAATCAATATGATAAATAATACAGAATTTAAAAAAGAATATATAATTAAAGCCATGCATTATTTTAAAATTTTAGCTACAAAAATTTTCCTTTATGTCTAATCCTATGAATTGCTGCAACTTTATATGGCTGAAATGAAAATAAGAAAAGTGTCTTCTTATAGAATTTTATTTGTCCAGGGCTGGGGATTTAGCTCAGTGGTACCATGCCTGCCTTACAAGTGCAAGGTCCTGAGTTTGATCACAGGTAACAAAACAACAAAAAAAGAATTTTATTTGTCCATATTGTAGAACCACAGGCCCAAATTCAAAGAAAATATGAAAGAAGAGATTTTCAAATATCTTAAGTTATTGTGTTTAACAAATTTAATGTTTTATAAACTTTTATAGATGTGAAGAAGCTACACAGCAGACCAAAATCGCACCAACACTGCATACCCTTAAATGAAAGTATCAGCATTCACTAAGGAGGAGGATCATTTTGGACTCATCCAAGTTTTTCTGAACCTGTCATACTATAACGAGGAATAAAGCTAAATGTCTGGTTTGAAATCAGTAACGTAAAGAACACAGAATTAAAGCCATGCATTATTTTCAAATTTTAACTGTACATTAAAAATTTTCCTTCAGGTTCTAATCCTACAAATTGCTGCAACCTTATATAATAATATATTGCTGAACTATATTATTTATATATGATAAATATAAATGTGTATAAAGTGTGTAGAATATAATCAAATTTGCCAAGAAGTTTACTGCAAATCTTTTTTCTTATTTTAAAAACCTACTTTTTCCAGATTCTTGTCATCTCAAAGAAAGAATTTAATGAAATGAGCAAATGCGATGGCAAAGTTCATTTGAAAAAATAAAGGAAAAGAGTGAGAGAATTTGGCTCTTCAGAGTGAGCTTGGGCTGAGTAAAAGAGGAAAAGGCAAGATAAAAGTACACCGTGGAGGACACAGGGCAGGCTGTTTTGAAGAAAGCAAAAGCCAAACCTACTATTTTTATAATTCCTACACAACTTCAATCTGTTCTATTAATATTCTAGACTTGAAGCTTAAAGACACTCTAAGCCATGAATTCATTATTTAGAAGATCAGAACAGATCTAAAGGAACATAGTGTATATTAATCATCCCAAATCCCCAAATTTTTATGCATCTACAGGATATCCAAAACACTGTACAAAACTGACTCTTTAAAAACCCTGATACACCAAAAATTACAAAGCTGTAAAATACAGTTTAAATGTTACCATCAGAGACTATGTCTTAATAATAAACCAGTGTAATGTAACTACAGGGAGAAAATTTTAAAGTACATTTCTGAAGAGAAGTTAAAATAGGAA